TTTGCTCCAAACTTTGAGACTTCACGAGGGAAGTTTGTGTGTTACTGGGTCCGTATTGCTCGCCGCATACACCAAGTGGGGGAGAGTGGGAGCCCATCTCACTTGTTTGTTATGATCTTATGTTGCCCGCCGCGTGTTTGTTGTGGTTTGTCTGAGTGAAGGTTTTGGATGGTACGGTAATAATAATGATAATAATAATAATAATAATAATGGTGATGATGATGATGTTAAGCATAAATTGAAAATATTAACACTAAATTTCTAATAATAACTTAAATAATCATTAAAAAAATAAAAAGTAATAATAGAAATAGTAATATTAATGATATTAACCACAATAACAAATTTAATACTAAAATAATAATAACAAAATTTAACAATGCAAATCATAACATACAATATTATTTACTTATGTCGGGATACAAAACTCTTAAATCAGATCCAGATTTTGTAACCTTCACTAAACCCGCGTTACGTAATACGGTCGTGCTCAAAGACACTCTGAGATGGTATCAGATTTGTATGTTTTGATGATGTTCGCTGGCCAAGAGTAAAGGCATTAGGGGAGACAGACGAGTGTTTTCAGGGGCTATACATCTGGATCTCTCGAGCTTGTAACTAGATTTGTCATGACAGTGCATCAGTTCAATATGACTTCCCACCACCCCCCCCCCCCCCCGTCCTCCCACCCGTCCACCCTACCCCCAATACTCAACCCCCCTGGTTCTTACTATTGTCAGTTTAGAGATCGAGAAGATGGTGGAGGTGTGTGTGTGTGTGTGTTTCCATGAACTATTTGTGTGTTGGTAAACATTTAGAATTTTTCTGTTAAACTTTTCAAGAGAGAGAGAGAGAGTGTGTTCATCTTTCTAAATTACGAGAAAAGACAATCACTGGGAAAAAGTTTTTAAGAGGGGTCGGATTAGGGGTACAAAGTTGGCACGAGAGAGAGAGAGAGAGAGAGAGAGTCTTTATCCTTCCAATGCAAGCTGGGACAAACAATGGGCAGACTATTCAATAATCCCTCGAGATCAGCACCAGTGAAATAATATACTCACGAAGCAGTTCTCGATATTTATCTTGGAGGAGAAAGAAAGAAAGAAAGAAAGAAATAAATAAATGTACCTATAAACGCTGGCACAATTTTTTTTCTCACGATATATTTAGATAACTCTTAAGGTTTTTCTGTGAGAGGAACAGCTGGTTATAGTTTTTATAACACCAGCTGGCGGATATCGTTAATTACTGATACATTTTTTATATCGTGTTTAAATTGAGGGGGGTGGGGGGCGGATATCGTTAATTACTGACACATTTTTTATATCGTGTTTAAAGCGAGGGGGGGGGGAGTAGGGAGAGAGAAAGTGAGAAAGGTGGGAGGGAGTTAGTAAGAACTGGAAGGGTGAAAGGACGGAGTAAGTGGGTAGGAGGGAGAGGGGATGAATGAGGGAGATAGGAAGGGAATGAATGAGGGAGGGAAGAGAGTGAATGAGGGACATGGGAAGGGAATGAAGGAGGGAGGAAGGAAGGTAATGTATGAGGGAGGAAGGGCGTGAGTGAATAAGAGAAGGAGTGAAGGAGAAAGTGATTGAGTGAGTTGAGTGAGAGATTTGAGTGAGTCAGTGTGAGAGATTTGAGTGAGTAAGTAGAAGAGCAACTGATTAATCTTCTCCATTATAGGTCACAGGTGTGTCAGTCACTCCCACGTCAAGGAAGATCAAAACTTTCTCGACAAAGTTTTTAGTCTTTTACTTTTTTTTCTTTTTCCCGGATTTTTGTGGTGCACTTAGAAGGACAAAACTCTCCAGAAGTTGATTAGTAATTCATATGAGTGTATCAGGCTAAAGTTTGGTTTAGTTACACACACACACACACACACACACACACACACACACACACACACACACACACACACACACGATTCAAATGTCTACAGAGAGAGATTTATGAAGTCTTTGTGGAGGAAAATCTCTCTCTCTCTCTCTCTCTCTCTCTCTCTCTCTCTCTCTCTCTCTCTCTCTCTCTCTCTCTCTCTCTCTCTCTCTCTCTCATTTCGCACCCTCTCACCTTCCCTTCCTCTTACTGTATCTCTCTACACCTGTGGAATACGATCACCCATTTCATCACTCATTCCTTCTTTCCATGTTTCCCGTCCCTCTCTTCCTCCCCCTTTTTTTAATTTCCCTTGATAGTTTTTCTTTCATTTTCCCCAATCGCTCTTCTCTTTTTTTTTGTTTCCCATTTCCTTTATTGTTTCTTGTCCATTTTTCTTTTATTTTTTCTCCCTTTGCTGTCTTTTTCCATCTCTCTCTCTACTTACATATCCCTTCTTACTTCACCCTCTTCCTTATTCTCTTCCTCCTCTTCCATTCTCTCTACCACAATATATTTCTTTTTCCCTCAATCTCCTTCCCTCCCTCTCGTCCTTCCTTCCTACCTCATTCTCTTTTCTCCTTCCTACCTCCTCCTATGCCTTCCTATTTCCTTCCTTCCTTCCTTCCTTCCTTCCTTCCTTCCTTCCTTCCTTTCTTCCTTCTTTCCTTCCTAGACACAATTCTCCCTTGCTTCTAACACCCTCCATTTAAATTTTTCTGTCTCTCTTCTGTCCATCTGTTTTATTGGATCCTTTCCCTTCCCCTTCTCACCTAAAAAACATATCTGTCTCTTTATTTCCCCAACTCTTTCGTTCTCTGTTTTTTCTTCATTTTTTGTAATTCGTTGTCTCGTGTGTGTGTGTGTGTTTCTCACTCAGCTAATGGTGAGAGAGGAAGGAAAGGTGTAGTGGAGGAAGGGTGAAAGTACTGTAGGTCACTGCCTCTCGTCAGATTGTAATACGAGGTACAATCCCTTCACTTTTTTCCCGTTCCTCCCCTCCTCCCTTTCTTTTTTACTCTCTCTCTCTCTCTCTCTCTCTCTCTCTCTCTCTCTCTCTCTCTCTCTCTCTCTCTCTCTCTCTCTCTCTCTCTCTCTCTCTCTCGGATGGTTGGAACAGTAAGGTGGAGGATAATTTAAGTGGCGCGTCTCATTAAGTCCTCGTCGTGTCGCAATTCTTCTTCATCTTCTTCTTGTTTCTGTTTTTTCTCTTCCTATCTTTATTTTTTCCTCTCGTCAAGTACCTATTCTTTACCTCTCTTTTATTCTTGCCCCTCCCACCTTCCCTCCCTTCCTTTCAAGCACTTATATTTTCCCCTCGTTATTGCTCCCATTACGTGCTTAAGGACCTTAGTTGTCGTGGGGGCGTCGTTACTGCTTAGAATTTTTAGGTCAGAATCAGTGATGTAGTCGAGATCACTATAGGATCGAGACCGAGATCAGGACCGAATCCCTTAGAAGTTGAAGCCAAGACCAATCACAGTTTCAGCATTTATTTATATGCTTGCTTATGGATCTAGTTTTTAGGATTATATATTTTTTTTATATAATTCGGGTTTCAGTTCATGCGAAGTTTAAATTTGGATCACCTGAAGGTTACAGACCCAGGCTTATTTCACTACCTGGAGGGGGGTGGGGGGTTGTTAGTACACTATATATGGGGGGGGGAGGGGTTAGGTCAACTACAGTTCTACACTACAATCGCCAGTCAGTAATGTAATGCTGATAAAATTGCTTTTATTATTTATTAAGGTCTGAACTTAAGCGATGAAGTAGAGAAATATTTTCATCACTGAGACAATGGCTTCTTATTGTGTGACCTTTGGCACTGCACTTCTGAAACAACAATCTTAATATTTGGATCAAATTTCGATGTCATCAGTCGCAAAACGGGGCGAAGATTGTCGTCGTTTAGTCCATTTCGAACTTTTGACTTGATAAGATTCAGGATAATAGTATTTGACGTATTTAGATTATTGGTAACATCAACAAGGAAAGAAATATAACAGTAGAGCACAGAATCACTCTACTTGTTCTCCCGTTTTCAGCTTCGACGTCTTTGAGAAATAATTAGAATTAGCTTTGGTTTCGGGTTCGTGATTTTATGAAGTTCACGATTGAAATAACACCCGTCATTTCATCTCAACGTTCACATCTTTGCCACATAAATTCTACCGGCGCATAACTAAATGAAACTGAATAATGTAGTTCATTTTTCTTTTCTTTTTTTTGTATTCACCAAGATGTTTGATCACCTCTGGGACCAATCCATTCAGTGTACCGAGGCCACCACATTAATAACTGGTCTCAAGACTTGCATCACTTGTCTGAATCAACAGTCATAGGGGGGCGTCGGTCGTTGTGTGCTGGACTCCTCTCTCTACCTCTCTTTACTTTCTACCACTCCTCTACTTTTATTGACACCTATTTAAACGTCTATCTCTTCTCCCCCTTCAGATGCCTCTCACTTCTCCCTCTTCAGGTGCCTCTCACTTCTCCCCGCCCTCCAAGGCCCGGCGGCAGTGTAATATAGGACAACTGAGTTTGGGAGGTATCTGACCGTGTTGTGGAGGCCCAGTTTATCTCCCTCTACCATCCTGTACTGATTCCATTTTCGTGTCCCTCTTCCATCAAACACTTATATCTTTTATCTGTCAGAGTCCTCCCCATCCCATCCCATCGCGCCCCCTCTCTTAAGGCTTTGAAAAGAGAGAGAGGGGGGAGGGGGCTATACTGAACAGTTTAAGAATGGAAGGGACTGTGTTGTGGAAACTCAGTATATTTTAAAATTCTTTTCACTCTCTATTACATTATTTATTGGTCGCTTTCCTCTGTTCATCTCCCTTAAAGTGCCTTTCCCTTTCTACTTTATCTCCCGTCAAAGTCCTAGAGGAGAGTAGAGGAGGACTGCTTTCGAAACCCCCCATTCCATCCTTTCCCTTGTCCCCCTTTCTCATACCCATTTTCTATGTCACCATTAAAGGCCTCCCCGCACTTTAGTCCCTCTTCCTCCCCCCCACCCCCCCCCCCAAGGCCTCGAGGGGATGGATGAGGAAGGAATGGAAGGAGGGAAGAGGAAGGAATGAGGGAGGGAGGAATTTACACAACATTTGAGGACTAAAACTGACCGTGTTGTCGATTCCCTGCCTGGGGGCGTTGGTGTTCGTAGGCGAGTGACCGACGATGTGGCCGCGGATGATGGCCTGGTCGATATACAGCACCAGACGGATCATCACCTGGATCACCATCGCCACGAACAGGTTGCGGTGGATCCTCGTCCGGTTGTTCTTCAAACTCCTGTGAAAGAGAAGAATGGTGGTTAATGGTGGTGGTTATTGGCACTGGTGTACAAGGGAGGACGATTGGTGGTTAGTGGCACTCTCTTAACTAGAGGCTCTTGTACAGGGGAATGATAAAAGGAGTATAGTGGTAGAGGAGAGAAAATGGCTGGGAAGGGGGGGTTCTTTTCTATCTTTCTCTCCGGAGAGATAAAAGGCTATAAGGTATTTATGAGAGTAAAAAGTGCAGCACAGGGAGACTTGTTGATGAAAGGGAGGGGTAACAAGAGGTCGTTAGTGCTGGAACAAATCGATTACTTTAAGTCAGATCTCTGGAACTACCAAGAATAACAGAGGCTGTATTTTTAATAGATATTTGAGAATGTAATAATAATAATAATAATAAAGTTTAAACACCGAGGTGAAATGGAAACTTTAAAAGAATAGTTATGTCTTTGTTTAAACGTTGTTGTCTTTTCCTTAACATATTAAATTTACCTTATGAAACCTTGGAGTGTCGATTTGAAATAGGGTAAGAGGCTCCCCGGGACACTGGTGGACCGTGGTGGTGGTGAGGTCTCTATTTGATTTTGCTCTTTCCCAGTATCTCTCTCTCTCTCTCTCTCTCTCTCTCTCTCTCTCGTAAGCAGTTCAACAAGTAGATTTACGACCAAATCCTCTTGAGACGCCCAACACGCAATTTCATTCCGCAGGAGAGTTAATACACAGCTGTGACGATCTAACGTTGTAAGACGATGCACGACACAAGATGAACGACGTTTGACACACGACGCATGACGCACGATGTAAGAAACACGACACAAGACGCAAGACACATGACACAAGACACAAAATACGATGCAAGATGCACGGTGAAAGACACAACTCAAGACGCACGGTGCAAGACACAACGCAAGATGCAGGTGCAAGACACAACGCAAGACGGAAGACGCATGATGCAAGACACACGGGGCCCAGGAACGCTGAATATGATATTGCCTTAAAGGTATGTATGATGCAATATAAAATTCAGAGCTCTGGAGAGAGACGAGAGTAAGACCTGCTTTTCCCACCGGCTTGGTAAATAAATAATTCAGACAATTGGAGACTTGGGGAACATCGTTGAAATATTACCAGTAAGCTGCTGGCCTCAATGGTATTTTCTCGGGATTGACGTAGCTGGGGACTCAAGCTTAATGGTATTTATATTGAACTAAACTTTACAAACCCCCGCAGAAAGTAAACATTGAAGTGTTCTGATATCAGCTGATAGAGGTGACTAATTTACCAGCGACTGTATTTGAAACTATTGTAAGATTAAATACATCAGTAAAATATATTAATAAATCATACTTGGTTAACGTTCGTGTGATTTATCTTAAGATGAAATAAGCTGGGGTGGCCAATCGTCAGGTGATCCGTAAATGTTAACGTATTGTCATCAGTCACTCGTAATCACTTATACAGAGTCGTAAAATGTGAGGCTGGAAAGTTTCTACCATAAGGAGGTTTACTGCCACTATACTGTCGACCTGGCGGTGCGTTTTGTGACCTCCGTGACAAGTTGACTGAGTGTGACTACTGCAGAAGGTGGAGTGAGTAATGTAGGTATTGTAGGAGGTAGAGTGATTGATGTTGGAAGTGGAGTGAGTAATATAGGTCTTGTATCTTGTAGGAGTTGGAGTGATTGATGTTGGAGGTGGAGTGAGTAATATAGGAATTGTAGGAGGTAGAGTGATTACTGCTGAAGGTGGAGTGACTACTGCTGTGGAGTGATTGATGTTGGAGGTAGAGTGACTACCGCTGGGGGTGGAGTGACTACTGCTGGGGGTGGAGTGACTACTGCTGGGGGTGGAGTGACTGCTGGTGGAGGTGGAGTGACCACTGCTAGAGATGGAGTGACTGTTGCAGGAGGTGGAGTGACTACTGTTGGATATCTGTGCCTTTTACTATAGGGTCTCTCTCTCTCTCTCTCTCTCTCTCTCTCTCTCTCTCTCTCTCTCTCTCTCTCTCTCTGGCTGTACAAATCTCCAATTATTATCTAATCACATACACCATCGGCACCCTAATCACGGACAATCATAGTGTGTGTGTGTGTGTGTCAGACCGATATACGCTCGATAATAACACACTTGTTTTAGTTATATATATCAAGCTTAACTGTACGACGCCCAGTTATCTAATTATATATAACTTTGTCCCCTAATCGATGCTATAATCACAGGTTTGTTGTGTCTTCGTACAGTCAGCATAAATTACTAAGTAAATATAATTATACCTGTGCGAGACCCCTAATCATACCTGTACGAGACTAATCTACGAGGCCCCTAATCATACCTGTACCCCCTAATCATACCTGTACAGGGCCCCTAATCATACCTGTACAGGCCCTAATCATGCCTGTACAGAGGCCCTAATCATACGAGGCTCCTAATCATACCTGTACGAGGGCCTGTACGAGGCCCCTAATCATGTGAGGCCCCTAATCATATGCCCCCTAATCATACCTGTACAGGCCCCTAATCATATGTGTTGAGGCCCCTAATCGTTGCACAGGCCCCTAATCATGCCTGCACGAGGCCCCTAATCATGCCTGTACAGGCCCCTAATCATACCTGTACGAGGCCCCTAATCATACCTGTACGAGGCCCCTAATCATATATGTACAGAGGCCCCTAATCATGCCTGCCTAATCATGTGTAATCATACCTGTACCCCTAATCATATATGTACAGAGACCCTAATCATACCTGTGAGGCCCCTAATCATACCTGTATTAATCATATGTACGAGGCCCCTAATCACCTAATCATACCTGTACGAGGTCACCCCTAATCATACCTGTGAGGCAATCATACCTCAGGCCCCTAATCATGCCTGTGCGAGGCCTCTAATCATACCTGTGCGAGGCCCCTAATCATACCTGTGGGCCCCTAATCATACCTGCGAGGTCCCTAATCGCCTGTACAGGGCCCTAATCATACCTGTACGAGGCCCCTAATCATACCTGTACGAGGCCCCTAATCATGCCTGTGCGAGGCCCCTAATCATACCTGTACGAGGCCCCTAATCATACCTGTACGAGGCCCCTAATCATACCTGTACGAGGCCCCTAATCATGCCTGTGCGAGGCCCCTAATCGTGCCTTACATAACAGAAAGGGATGGACGCTTGATGCTTAGAGAGAGAGAGAGATTCTTATATCAATTTAGGGGTGAAATAAGCCTCCTTGAATTCCTCTCTCGGGGTGACTTATGTTTCTCAAAAGAGTCGTCAATTGTTAATTAAAGGTAAAAGAGACGCAAATATGAGGAGGCGGGAGGTGGGAGGCAAGATTTCGAAGGATCGAGGTCTTGCGGGATGTGGGAGGAGGGATAGTTGATCGAGAGAGAGAGAGAGAGCGAGAGAGAGAGAGAGATTACTCTTAAATTCTCCCTGGTCATTGTACACTGTACAGTGACCAGCTTCAGTCCCATTTCTCCTAGACTTGTAAATAAAGCTTAGTCTCTCTCGCTCTCTCTCTCTCTCTCTCTCTCTCTCTCTCTCTCTCTCTCTCTCTCTCTCTCTCTCTCTCTCTCTCTTTCTCTCTCTCTCTCTCTCTCTCAGGCTCATGATTACTTGCTGTTTCTCCATCTTCCTATTTCTCAACCCCCACCATTACCCATTTTCTTTGTTACCCATTTTTCCTACTATCCATTTAGGTCTTTATATCTATTTCTTCCTATTACCCATTTTCTTCTTCCTGCTGCCCATTTTATTCTTCCTACTATCCATTTTTTATTTATTATCTTTACTTCACACTGCACTACACGTCTGTCTATCTATCTATCTATCTATCTATCTATCTATCTATCTATCTGTCTATCTATCTATCTATCTATCCCTCACACACACACACACACACACACACACACAACGCTAGTAAAATAAATATCTGAGGTTCAAATAAAGTTTTCATCTCAACATTGTAGATATAAGTCGTATTTTTTATTTATTTTTTTATAGTAATCTGACTTGTATGTGTTTGAAATATTGGCTTCGCGTAAGGTGCGTTATATAGTAATTGGATAGATGGGTCGTTAGTTAAAATACATAAGTAGGTCAGATTTTAACGGTACCAACGGTGCGGATAAACTATGGATTAACAACAACATATATATCCTTGGTGACCTAAATCCTAAACCACATGAAACAAAATACAATAACATCGACATTAATAACTATATACGGTTCTTGGTCAGTGAGTTATAAGAAAAATAATAGTTCCATAAATGTTTAGCTGCTAAGGATTGTTTCTTTGTGTTTAACGTGAACATTATTAAGGGGGGTTGATGGTGTAGCAACGGGAGGAGCAATAGGTCCGTCCCGTGTTACTCAGTGATTGTCCTCCCGAATTTAAACCCATTATTTGTACACTATATGTTGATGATAATTTTCTTGAACCTGTCGACAATGTTCATCTTCATTTACATAACATGAATTCCAGATTTAGCAATATACAGTTCACCCCGGAACAAAAGAGCGTACACGAATGATCATTTTTAGATACACACGTCGAAAAGTTGGTAACACATTTTGTGCGTCATTTTATAGAAAACTTTTGTATTCAGGATTAAACACTAAATTCTTCTCCCTCATACTTGACCAATAGAAAAAAACTTAATATCTACCTTAGTCACCAGGCCTAATAACACCTGTTCAAAATATCTCCAGACTTACTTCATCTTGAGACTCAGCCCAGAGAACATTACTAGGTAGGACTCGACTCACAGTAGGGAAGTATCTGTCAACTCCTCCAACCAAACATTCAGTCAGGCACTGCTAGTAAAGCCATCGTTTATTCTCCACTTCAGTATCATGGCCCATACCATAGCTACGCCCTCACATACAAACTGACCAAGTTAAGTTAACTTTATCCACGCAATTCAATACGATTTGTATTTAGATCAGAAAGCTGTAAAAATAGTTGACGTACAACGATCTGATCATTGATAATGTGCCGGTCACTGTTGTTCACTT